GCGCCCCCACCTTCCACAGCGATAACCAAGTATGTTTGATGAATGTGCACGAAATGGAGAACAATGTTTGTGTTGTTTGTGGTCCCAGGTGCCTCCCTGTCCTCTGCTGATCAAGAGGGGCTGACTGCACTTAGCTGGGCCTGTATGAAGGGCCAGAAAGGTGCGGTGCAGCTTCTGGTGGAGGCAGGAGCAGACCTGAACCAACCTGACAGACAGGGACGGACTCCACTTGACCTAGCTGCCCTTAACGGGGATGCAGAAACAGTGGGTGTCACGCTGTTGTGTAGATGATATCTTGTTGATAACAGAAAAAATATATAGTAGTTTTATTGCTGGGGTGCAATTCATTGGTCATGGACAAATATAGATTGACTGTAAGTTGCGAAACATAATAGATAACAGTCATTTTAAGCTATTTTAGGCAAATGAAAGAAATTACTAAAATAATCATCATTTGCCCTGCTGCACTGGATGTCAAATTTCAATCACAGTCCATGCAGAGTCAGAATCTTCAATCTCAGTATTTTCACAGTTATTTATTCTATTGATCAGCAGGAGAGGATTTACAAACAGGATCAACAGATTATCAACAGTTTCCCAAAGTCAGTAATAGAAAAGAGCAGACAGCTTTGTTGGTACCGCCTGTTAATGTGGTGATAAGCATACAGCATGTAATCAACAACATTACTGAATTATCTTTTTTGTTTTGTTTTTGCTTGAATCTTACTTTTAAATGTGAATATATTGTTGTTATTCACTGCACGGCCAGGTGCATTGCCTGGTGGACCATGGAGCGGTGTTGGAGAGAGCAGACAACAACGGTAGCAGAGGTTCAGACCGAGCAACCGGCTGCCAGAACCCAGCCCTGGTGGCTTCGCTGCTTAAGAAAGGATCCAAGATGGGTATAAACACCAGGCTTACCATAACAGGCGTGCAGTAAATCAGACATCTAGGATTTTTATATTCAAACCCATCTAATATCATACAGCACAGTTTAACGGCTCCACAAATTACAATACAACCTCTGAAATAAGCGTAAAATTAAATCAACACTTGTCTGGCGAAATCCGCTGCTCAAAGCGTCTTCAGATTTGTATCTGACATATCCAATCAATGGAGACTCCGCTTGTATTGATAGATAGATATTTTACATTTGCCTGCTTTACTGCCATTCAGCATTTGATACACTTTTCTGCAGCACCTGCAGTTTCACGTCCGCTCCCTCTAACTCCTTTTCCGCCTCTCTCTTTCGATTTTTGGCTGCTCGCCTTCATCAACCAAAAGGCTACAGAACGGCTCCACATGACCGATCAGGTGCATGATTTATGTATGATACAAAGTAAACAAGACAAGGTGAGAGAGATAATATTAACATAAGTATTTGTACCACTCCATCAGGTCACGCTACGTGGGCTATGGCTTCTTCCAAACCAGACATTCTTCTCATCTTGCTGCAGAAGCTCATGGAGGAAGGGAATATGCTCTACAAGGTATAAGATGGTGAATGTTAGAGTTTTTGAGGAAAAAAATGAGTATTAGTCAAAACTTAACCCCCTTTTCTTGTGTGTTTCTCAGAAAGGACGCATGAAGGAGGCCGGTCAGCGTTACCAGTATGCCCTAAGGAAGCTACCTCGTGAGGGGCAAGGAGAGGAGCTGAAAGGGCTCAAAGACCTGCGGGTCTCCCTCTATCTAAACCTTTCACGCTGCCGCAGGAAAACCAATGTAAGGCCCACAGCTGTATCAAACCGCTCATGCACTATTTAACATCGACAGGTTTATTAGACACCTAGGGAATGGCAGGATGGCTGGCAAGGCAAGGTAGATGGCTCCTTAAGATATATAATTTATCTGTATCAACATAAAAAGATAATGTCAGCAGCACTGGTGTAGCTCACTGTAAAAATATCTCTGCTTTTCAGATCTAATTTCACGTCTCCCCGGTAAACAGAATGTACGTGTAAGACCTGGAAGCAGGTGGTGACATAATGAATAACTGTGTGCCGTTAGTGTAGAGATAGATGTGTGTGGCCCGCAGCCAGGTTTGGAACCCACCCTGGTGATGACAGACGTCCTAACAGACTGTGTAAAAATGCCATCCTTAGGGTCACTGTGGCCGATGAATAATGGAGCAGATAATGTGATGTGATAAGGTCACTCTCTCTGGCAGACCGAGTGCACTCTCTTTCTCTGTGTCTCTACAGGAGGTTATTTACAGTGGACGCACAAGTGGGCAGGCTAAATCCACATATTATAACAATGCAGGGAGTAAGGGCCAGCAGGGAGACTACATGATACCGTCATTAAACATTCAACAGCAATGTTCACAATCTCACATTCAAGGCTGCCATTTTGACCTCGCTTCTCAAGGACGGAATCACAATGTGTTGGTGTCATTAAATATTCACCTGAGAGTGATGATGAGAGCAGGAAAAATCTGCAGGAAAACAAGCAGCTCTGCCTGTCTATGTGTTTGTGTTTCCCGGTCAATAAAAATGATTACAGCGTGAGCTCCGTTTCATTAAACCGGCTCTGATCTTCGGATCCATATAATGAAAATGCAAACAAAGACTATTTTTATTGGACTCACATTCTTTTTTTCAAAACAAACGCTCTCCAGCTAGTCGCTTAACCACGCAGCTGATCACACACTGGGTTTATTTGCCATCGTGCCACATGTAATATTTAAATGGAAATACAAAAAAATTCAATTCAATAAATGCACTTTTTCTATCTGAAAACACAGGATTTTGGCATAGCTGAGGAGTTCGCAACAAAAGCCCTGGAACTCAAACCGAGATCTTACGAGGCCTATTATGCCAGAGCGCGGGCCAAGAGGAGTAGCAGGTACAACAACATTAAACCAAGTTAAATCTGAAAGCATTTTGCTCAGTGAAAAGTAGTTCTTGCAAGAATCAGCAATGCGCTGCGATGCCATGTCTCTGTGGCAGCATGTATCAAGTATTTTTAAAGTTCCTTTGTTCGATTTCTCGGCCCTCCCCAGGCAGTTTGCTGCAGCACTGGCAGACCTCCACGAAGCAGCACGACTCTGCCCGTCCAACCGGGAGATCCGGCGCCTGCTGGCACGAGTCGAGGAGGAATGCAAACACCATCAGAGGACATCCAGCAACAACACGGCACAGGGCTACAGCAGGGACCCTCACACCCACCACCATCAAGCCACAGAGGAAGAGGCGGACGTCTTTTCACAGGGAAGTCTCGAGAGGCAAATCCCAGCGGAGCAGGGCGACGCAGACAAGGACGAGGAGAAGGAGGAGGGTGAGGAGGTGAGCCTGCAGTGTGGGAAAAGCCCAGACTTTTGGCCGCTGAATCCGTACGCTCCTAACAGGACTCTCCCTGGAGGTGTGGCCTTTGGTTTAGGAGATCAGTCACCATGTTTCCCTCAAGAGGAATATGTACAGAACCAGCTGTTTGTGGACCTGCCCGAGCCTGTTCCAGCTATCCACAAGCAGACCCAGAACCAGGGCACCAGGACTCATCACCACTGCCACTCCCTCCAATCAGGGAGAGTCGGGGGCAGACCTCTCTCCTTGTGCGGCCCCTCCAGTCCTCTGCCAGGTAGACACATCTCCACCTCCCTGAGGCCTGCAGCTGTAATGGGTATTGACATCGGCCCGGGATCAGCCAACGAACACTCGGGCCACAGCCCCACTGAGCACTATCACCCCATGTCCCCCAACAGCTCCTCCCCACCTGGACCCCTTCAGATGTACCAGCCACGCTCCTCGAGTTTCTCCAGGGGCTCTGACAGACTCTCCACCCACTCGGTGGCTCTGGACGGCCTGGCTCTGGCTCTGGGGTCCGGCATGGAGGTCAGGAGGGAGGGTGGCGGAGGAGGAACGGCAGGCTCAAGGGGCTCCAGCTCCAGTCAGGCCTCCAGTGGGAACCTGTCAGACGGAGGCAGGCAGCAGCCACCAGATACCCCGTGCCCCATCAAGAGCAGCGGTAGCTTCAAGACAAAACCTGAGCTAAAGCCTCGGCCCTTCATGGGGGTCATGGACAAAGCAGTGCGAGTCCAGGGCCAGCAGAGCACTGGCCTGAGCCGACAGAGTGGAGGAGGAGTGGGGGAGAGTTTCAGTATGTCTGTAATGGAGTTCCAAGGGCTGAACAATGAGTTCAAACGCGCTTCATTCCAGGAGCAGCTCTCTGTGAGTCAGGCCAACAGCCAGCAGCAGGGCCGTGAGTTTGGAGACCGGCTCCACCAGCGAGAGGCCAGAGGCACTACATCCTCCCAGCTACGCTTCCCTGATGGGAGGCACAGGCAAGCGAGCCTAACGAGAGACAACCCGGCTCTGCACATGGCTCCCATTAAACCCAAACGCTCATTTATAGAGTCCAACGTCTGAAGATAGTTTATCAAAGCACAGATACAGGCTGTTTTCAACAAGCTATGTCGCACATAAGGTAGCAAGGGAGTGAGAGCAGCTCCCTTCCCTGAGCCTGTTTTGTAGATTTATGCTGCTGCACTGCATTTACAATCTAGAACCAGTGTTCAACTCAGGCTACTATGCTTTTTGCTTACATGTATACAGCTACACTAGTGTATTCAAGAAAACCAGTCATACCTTAAGTAGGGATTTAAAAAAAATAAGTAGTATATGGTCTCAACTTTTAATTTATTATATCAAATATAGAAGTCAGAGAAAGCTTTGTGCACGAATATACAAAACCTCACGCTATTAGTTGCAGGATATGACCATTTCTATTGTCAAGTGTCTTTTAAAAACATTTATATTTGTATGGTGTACACTATATTTGCAGATTATATATTTCCCTGTAAGTGGTTATCTGTCAGCATTACAGGCTTCAAAAGAAATTACTTTGTGTACTTGAGATTCTTTTTCTTGGTACATTTGATAAAAAAGAAAAAAAAAGAGGCACTGTACATGACATTGTTGGAAACTTCTTGTCATAATCTAACATTGAATCAATTGCTTCAATATTCACAGTATATGTTATTTATTTTTGCATAGCAGAGAACATGTTCTTATGAAGTGTTTATTGATTTATTTGGACACAGAGAGAGTATTTACAAAGTGTAGGATATGAAAAACAAAAAGAAAAAAGAAAAAAAAAAACTTAAGAGACTTACTACATTGCTGTATGTCCATAGTTGTCATATACCCTTTTCAGATTCATACTATGGTATACAGAATGTTACCACAATACTACTGTGGTATAATAAAATATTAATGGAGGACTACATTTCTACATCTACTTCTTTCACAGTATAATCCATAAAATGTTGCTTAAGCTTTGGAGTGTGTATGGATGGATAAAAGGTCTCGTCCTTTCACGACACAACACGGTATTTAAGCAAGCCATTAAAATAAAGTACTTGTATAAAACTGTGGACATTGCAGTTTCGCAAATTACAGAAATCTCTTCGTTAGTGTCATGTACTTCAATAAAAGCTGGATGTTAGCTCATGTGGGGAAGTACATGTTAAACTACTATAGCCAAGCACTATTCCCATAGGGTTTGTAATGCGCAAGGTCCTGCAGTTTCTAAATAAAACACACATATGTAATGCTTACATACAGATGGTGCAAATAGCGTATTTAAATTAAGCTCCATTAAGCAATATTTCCACGGTGAGCATTGGCACTGTATATGTGAAGGGCTTGTTAGTGCTGCTCATCCAACCGCAAATCAATAACCCAGTCTGTTGCTTTATGCAGCTTTCAAACTCTTACAGCTCGCAGTTTATCGGTTTAGTCAGTAAAAAACATTTTGAAGTACTACAGCTGGTAGAGAAAGCCTCTCAATCAACTTTTTATGATGAACCATATTGTTTAATTTCTAGTTTTCTGTTTGATCATTGTTGGTAAAAATTAAAAAAATAAATAAAATAAAATTATATATATACATAGGTAATGAAATAACCACCTGTTACCAATACAAAGCAATGGCAAGGTGATCGTTAGAAATGAGGCTACAGTGTTACAGACATTTTGTACTGTATGAATGATCTCTGTCTTGCTTAAATGAGCCGTGTATAAAGTCAACGAGTGATTGTTGAGGAAAGTCGAGGGTTTAGGACCAAGATATTTTCTTTCCTGTGAAGGCAGCAGACCAAACCAGGGTGGCGGTCAGATGGTCAAAAAAAAGTTACATCCTATGTGTTTTCTTAAAAACTTCACGAGGTCAAGGAAAGATGTTGAGAAAACTTCAAAAGGACTGAGGTGAAGGCAGCCACGGTGCTAAGAGAATCCAACGGCATTATCTCCTTTCAGTCCTGTGATTTCATTCAGTTAAAAGCCTGCGCAAGCACAACTACTACTAAACCACAGCCCAGGACTAAAGTGAATCACAAACTTGTATTCTTGAAGTGGCCAAAACTGGGACGCCCATATTGCTCTTTTCTCACTCTGCTGTGTGTGTGAGCAGATAACTGATAACCAGTACGTTGGCCAGAAGAATATGTTGAAGATTATGTAAGATTATGCAAGTTTGTCTTTCTGCTCCTTGGAGTTCAAAAATTGCTTAATGCGGCTTTATAAATGAGTGATACAAAAAAAAAATTAATTAAAAAACCCACCATCAGAAAAAATCAGATACACAGCAGGGGTCTTTCAGACGCTAGTGGCTCGTCTTCCAGCGGCCGATGGCCATCTTCAGAGTGTGGTTAGGGGTGAGCAGAGTCGTCAGCAAGGGGAGGTTGGTCATGGGGCTGGAGCGGTTCTTGGTGTTGATCCAGCTCTCGATGGCCTCTCTTTCATATGAGTAGCCATCTGTTAGGAAATGTGCACGGTGTTAATGAGAGAAACAAATACAAGCACTGAAGAAATAGCAGCCAAATCTAACTTGTGTTTATTTATCGCAACGTATAAATCGTATTAAGTTTGGATCTGAGCTTACCAGCCGCAATAACTGGCTCCCTCATCAGCTCTCTGGTGATTGGACACAGGAACTCATCAGGAATGCCTGAACACACTGAATCATTCTTCAGTTCTTCCACCTTCCTCAGGAGTTTACTGCGGAGGCCTACTGACTCTACACACACACACAAAAGCGAGAGAATGAGTAAATGTGTCAGAGGATAACACAGAACATTCAATACTTCATATGCTTTTATTTAAATAACTGAATCCAAAAGGGGGTCAAGTGGAATGAGCCGAGCTTGTGACAGCTGAACATGTGTAGTAATATCAATATCAAGGTTCTGAGCATTTGTCATTCCTGCGTTTAGCACTTTTCACTCTTGGATGGCAAATGTGAGCGTGGGTGAGAGTGAACGTGGCGGGAGCAGACCATGTATGCCGACTGTCTGTTCAGCTCAAACCTGAAGGCTGGTACACGAGCGCGTTTTGCTTTGAATACCGAAGAACGCTGGTTTGAAAACTGGAAAAACTAAAGTTTAAAAATAAAAGGGTTCTCATAAAACCGGGACTGAACTACAGTTGAACACAAAAACGCTTTGCAGCCTCCCTGTAAAACTTGCTGGTACATTCTGTTTATTATGCTGCCGCCTTAGAAGGAAAGCACACTTATTGATTTCACTCCTACCTTAGAAAAATATGCCTGTTTTTCTGTCTGTCATAGCAGTAGATAAAACATGTTGCTACAGAGTACCGTTCTCTAAGTTAGTTCTGCTAAAAAGGTGGGAATCGTGCTGGGTTGCTAAAAACGGAACAATGTGAGCACAAGCTGTCACAGCACAGGGCCTGTGTAAACTGAGCAGTGATTGACAGCGACTGTGGGATGGAAATGACGGCACGGCAATACAACAAACATTTGCTGACAACTACGTGACGAATACTCGCCTAGTTGGTAGACTGACATCAACAACATAACACTCCTACTTTAGCCGAGTGGTTTCACTTTATGCAGGAAAAAGCTCAAAACATGCCCAAAGTCTGACAAACCAAAAAAAAAGGAGAAAAAAAAATTCAGACAGACTTGGAAATAACCAAGAAGGCTTAATAATATTAGGTGTAAATCCACTTTCTACCTTATGGGAAATTTAGTTTTGAGGATTGGGTTATGTAACTGATGAAGTGCTCCAGATTAAAGTCAGAACTGCTGAAGCCCCAAAGCTGAGTGCTTTTACTGTGCAGCCTAATATTATGTAATCTTGCCGAGTAAAACCCCCCATCAACATTCATTCCTTCACCCTTACTTTAATTGAATGTGCCGCCTTTTATCCATGTAAATAGGTACAGAAATCCTAATCCACACACGTCCACGTTCATTCTCACAAGAGACCAGGCGTGTAATACCCATAAGACTGGCTTTATATTCTCACATTTAGGGAAGCGTCAGGACTACTAGAGGAGGAGAAGGAGTGAAGAAGTGGCATCGCACTCGCTCAGCAGCATGTGCCGTTTGTCTTCCTCACCTATGTGCAGCTCTGACGCCAGCGTTTCCTTGGTGAGACTGAGCAGCTCTGTCCCATCTATGTTGTTGGCCTTGAATTTGCCCACCAATCCCTCGAGGCCTTCCTCCAGCAGCCACTCTGACACGTCGTCCTCCGACCAATCACCGACCAGCAGCTTCGATCGGCCTGCCGAGGCTCTCCCTGAGAGGGTGAGTCAAAGCAAGACAGTGAGTCCTTGACGGCTGCGGCACCTTTTGAAAAATGGCCAGATATTCCCTGTGCAAGACGATCCTGGAATCCTGCTGACTAGTTATTGATTAGGAGTCTGCGGATAGCGCGGCTCGCATAATGATATAAATAAGAACGTCTGGAGGTTTCATCGACGTTTTCATTCGCACAACATGCTTTCCAGACAGAAATGCAAGATTTTGGCACCTGCTGGTAAAACACATTCCTGCTTATGACAGATTTACTTCAGCTTTTTGTGCACATTCTGTAAGAGAAATCATTTACTGATTTTTACTGGTACTTTTATAGATACTCCAGTGTAATGCACTAAGCAGAAAGCCATATTTTCTTTCTTCCCCCACCTTCACTTGTGGTCTGAGCAGATTCCGCTGAAACACACACACACACACACACACGCACGCACACACACACACACACACACACACACACAAAAAGAAAAGAAAAAGTGAGTGTAAACATGAGAAATGCGATGCAATCTTTAAGCAAACTTGAGGCTGAAGAGTAATTAAAGAAAAGAGAGCCCTCTTGTGCACAACACCTGTGTCCTTCACCACAAGATGAAGCTAGTTCAACACATGACACCTCAACACAAGAGCCATATTCAAAAGAATGTATACACAAAGCAGCATCTTAAAGATTTGCTCAAGATCTTATGATTTTCAGAGCTGGCGAACAGAACGAAGATACAATCAATAAAACCTGTTCTGTGACTGCTGAGTTCTATTTGCTGTTAGTGACTATAAGCAACAAAAAGTGTCAAAAGAAAACAAGATTTAAGATTAAAAAGGAACTAACCAGGAAACGACTTCCCGCCTTTCCATTGGACACAAGGTGCATCGAAGGAGGCAGACACGAAAATAGATCACAGCAATTACATTTAATTAATCATCACAATGTAGCTGTTACTCATTTGGAGTGACACGTGCTGGTGCCCACCGCTCCTGCTGCATCCGTCCTCCAGCCACCAGATGTTTACGGTCTTATCCATGGATCCTGTAGCAATTAGTGGTGACGTTGGAGAGAAGGCACATGCTGTCACGTACCTGCAGGAGACAAACAATCGCCTGAATGATAGCTTCTCTTAACAATGAGGTGTCCTTTTCTATGTAGAATACTGCTGAAAAAGGACTGAAAAAGACATTTTTCCAAGTAGAAAATTCAATCAGGCTTAATATATAGGAAGGGAAAGAAATGTAAAAACCAGAACATAACAACAAATCTGTGAAAGTATCTTGTAAGAAGTAACTTTACATGATAATAGTGATTCTTTGGGCGATTGTGAAGCAGAAGCTGAAGCGAAAAGCCTCAGGGTTTTTTTTGTCATTTTAGGGAGCTGTAAACGCCCTGCATCAAAATCTGAGGTTCTGCAGTTCAGCTCCTACAGGGTTAAAAGGTGGGCACCACGGCTCGATACCAGATCTAAATATGTAGCAGTGATGGAAATGTCTCCATCAGAGGGCCAATTCAGCAACGGCTTACCACGTCAAAGGCTGCACTGAGATCTAAATAAGGATTACGATCAAATTTTCAGTTGATTCAAGAAAGTCAAGGCAACGTTAATGAGGACAATCTCTCTGAAACCTAAGCTGGATTGCTGAGAAATGTTGATCCACAAAAGCCACTTGGTTTCACACAATGCCTCTAACAACGAAAACAATTGAAAGAAAGGCATGCGCTAATCCAACATTAAGACATTCACAGTGTTATATTAACAGTTTGTCTAAAGTCAAATGAGTTTCCTGGAGGCATTTTGTCAAGTGTTTAAAAGAAGAAGACGGAAAAAAAAAAGATTTACTTTTTCACCATTTACCCACTTTTCCTCAACTCGCCTCGTTTGCTTCCACTTCAGTTTCTGATTTTCCAAAGTGACTTTGATTTGCCCACTGAAAGAAGATTGCTGCCTTTCAAACACAGGTGGCTGGATGGACGTATAAATAGCTCTCAAGTGTGATCATTCATCTGTGGCTTTTATGCATGTTTGTATGCGTAGGGGTGAGAGATGTAGTGAGAGTGGTCCCACCTTTTTTCTAAAAATGCAAAACGCATGTTTTGGTGACCACAATCAAACAGAATCAATCATTTACATTTACTCCATATGTCTTACATAACTGGCAGTATCAAAGACTAATAAAACTAACTAATGTGTCTGTTTGAAGTCTCATTGTATCGTGTCCAGTTAGTAAAATACCAGACATGCAAAATAAACCATCATCACCTGAGTTATTCCCAGAAATATGTTTCTTTCAAGAGACGTGCATGTTTGTAAACAGAAGAGTTACAACCAGACACAAGCGAAGCTGTGTAAAACACTGATTTTAGGGAATTCTGCAAAAAGCATTGAAGTATAAACAAGAGTGGGTAATATGAAGTATAATAAAATAATACTGCCAGAATGATAAGTGCATTTTTACATTACCAACGTGTCATAAGTGTTTTCAATGCGTCATTAAGACAACTTTACCTGTTACTCATCCCATTGATTTGTTTTTACTTTTTACCAGAAAAAACGTTTTCTGATAAAAGATATGTTCTTAAATAATCTGGAGGATCCTACATTGTGACACACTTTAGGAAAATGTGGCCTCTTCTTTTAAATCACTGTGTATCCATTTAAGCATATGGCCAAAATACAAATATCAAAAAAGGGCAATAAATAATGTCATATAGCATGAAATTAAATTACAAATAACTCCACACAAAATATTCTGTCTGGCAAGTTGAGACAGAAACTAATGCAGCTGCTTAAACGTCGTGCTTATAATTGGTGAGATCATGCAGCAAACAGACGTTTCTTACATGAACACAAATGAATATTTACCTCTTGTGCTGGCTCAGTGTGTAAAGCAAAACAGCATTTTTCTGCAGACAAAGTGGAGAAAAAAAACCAAATGTGAGCTCTTTGTACTGAATGGAGCAGCATATAACAAGTGTTTAGTAAACTAAGAATAAGGACAGGTACTTACAGCGTCATAGATTGTAACAGTTTTGTCCACAGAGCTAAAGGAAATAAAAATATAAGATTATGCATAGACTTTGTAAGCAATGATTTAGTGACCCAACTATATGATACAGTACAGCGTGTTCGATCTACTTTCACTCACTGAGGAATAAACAATCCCTGCCGCCCTCCAGTGGCGCCACTTAAGTACTGCACTGTGATATTTGTGCAGAGGGTGGCCTACTTAAACATCCAGGCAAACAAATAATCTATATTTTATGTCAATCTCTTGATACTCGATAGATCAAGACATGGAGAGTGATCTATTTAAGATCAAGAGCATGATGTGAAATGTAGATTTTGCGTACGAGCAGCAACTGTGAATTTTCTGGAGGGAATCAGGATGGTTCAAAATCTCTTAAATATGTCAGTTAAAGGAACATACAAGCGGATTTGCATGTTTGAGCCACCAACAGAATAAAAATTTTGTATGTGTGGCTCAAAGGGTTCCAGAAACTTTTAGATTTTCAGGGAATGGTGCATTTATTCAGCTGCAATAGTCACAATTTCACTCCCCAGAAACTATGCAATAACATACAAAAGGCAAAAAAGAATAAATTGCCGACGGGATTGATGATCTATTTCAAGCAAATTCCAAGTCTGTGCAAGTTGATTTTTATAAAATGGCATAGACAGGAGACAATGGCTACCTGTGAAGCAAAAAATCAATCTAAAAGCCTAAGGTATGCTTTGGAAATGTCAGGTGGAAGCTAAAATATGCAAAATCACTAGCATGCTTTCTTTGTTTCTTTAAAGACTGTTTTTTTTTTTTGGCATTTTCATCTTTATTAAACAGTGACAGTGGACAGAGACAGGAGATGTGGGGAGAGAGAGCAGGGGAATGACATGCAGAAGTGGTCGGAGCTAGACGGGAATTGAACCGAGGACTTATTTGGTTGAGTGTGTGAAAATGTGATATGAACCGTAACCACTCAGCATTATGCTTTTTCTTAAACTTTAAATCCTACCCAGCCACAAGCAGTTGTCCATCTGAGGAGTACGCACAGGAGAGAACTGGAGCCGAGTGGTAAACGAATGTGTGCAGGAGCTGCATCTTGTAGGCTACAAGAGAGAGTAACAAGTGCAGTTACACATACAGACGAGTGAAATATTATTGTCAAACTGGCCACCAAAACATACAGTAGGCCGGACTGTTTCAGGATTAAGATTGCACTGTATTGTGAGGGAGTCAAACAGATTAAAAGCCACAAAAAGTGGGCGAAGACTTCTTAAATTGGTCAGTTAACACAAACAAATGAAGTAAAGCTGAGTGCGGTAAAGTGAGAATGTTTAATCGCTACATTAGTGCACAAATACAAGCACTAATTGTTACTATGGATTTGTTTTAAATAAAATGTGTGTTTATTTGACATCACCAGTGACTCGTCTTGATGCATTGGTGCCGATTTATTACAAATGAAGCATTGTGACTCTGAGGAAACTGCACACATCAATATTCAGCCTCAGATTTGCATGTAACCAAAAGTGTGCGCAGATCTGTGCTTCTCCCACAAAGCAAATAAAACTCTGCCTCACACAGTGGCACTTTGACTGTCGTTAACTATGTTTGAAGTCTGCAAGACAGGAACAGTGGACAGTTTACAGTTTTAGCTAATATCGATATGAGGTTGAGAGAGGATCATATATCGGATAGATAGAGAGCTCTAAGGACATGCGAAGTGTACCTCCTGAACTGAACTTGTTGATGGCCCATATCTTCAGGTGACTGTCTTGTCCACAGGATGCCAGATGAAACTGCACAACTTCACCACCTAAAACATAATAAATACACCCAGTCAGTCTTCACAAAAACCTGTCAGCCTTGATGAAAGGCAACCAGCAGATAGACTTTATGGGCTAAACTCCACACAGAGCAGCTGTGTTTCAACTATCACTTATTAAACAACACCACTGCAGAACTGGTGGACTCAAATATTACAGTACTGTCACCTAATGTGCTACTGCTTAGCCTTCTATAAGGAATGACAGGCATATTTGATTTGATTTTAAGTGGTAGAGCAGCAGGCTGAGTGTTATCATGATACACAATGCAGCCACAAAATTAAAACTACCAGTCTAATAGATGGGCAGAGGACTTAGGAACTCTGGGAACGTCTTGTTGAGTCTGGCAGTGGATCTTTGAGTTGCAGTTTGGGGCCTCAACAGATCAGATCAGTACATCCTACGGCTGCTCAGTTGGACTGAGATCTGGGGAGTTAGAAGGCCAGGTCAACGCCTCGGGCTCTTTGCCATTTGGTTTGGTAGGTTGTGAGTGTCAAAGTAACATCCACATGAATGCCAGGACACGAGGTTTCGAAGGTTTTCATCTACAAATGCATGAACAACAACTTGAAAATCATAATAAAGTTTTATATTTAATATTCAGAATTTATTTAAGGAGTCAAAAATGTAATATATTATTGACTTGCTGCATATGAAGTAAAATGTTTCAATAATTTTTTGATTTCATTTTAGATCATTTTGGCGTACAGGGCAAAGAAGTGTAAAAAACACATCTCAGATAATTAGAATATTAGCAAATTACAATTAAAACAGCGCACTACATATATTTTTTAAATTATAGCTTAATATTTGCATTTTATTCAGACTACTTTAATTTCCATTATATGTTTGGCTATGACATAATGACACCATGTCTTATATTTACTGTAACTTTCATATATGATAATAAATTTATTGTGACGTCGTAAAATTACAAGACGGATTTTAATAAAGTTTTGTAAAAATGAGAAAAATATATTTTAACATTATACAAAATATTGACAAATATAGAACTTGGATTTTATTCTTATTTTTTATCCTTATTCCTTTTCAGCTGTGAGCCACAGAACTGTTGATAAATGCACAGTAATGGAATCTCACCACTGAGGATGGAGGGAGCAAAGGTGCAGCAGGAGACCCCCAGGTCGTGGGCGTTCTTCTCTGCGTGGAGCTGGTTCATGTTCAGGTCCCACAGACGCAGGTCTCCATAGGTGGATCCGGTCATGAACATCTGACTGCAGGGGCTGAAGGAGCAGGCGACCATCGTGGTGTCATCCACTGCCCCCGTCCTTCACAAACACAACCGAGAGCAGCTGTGTGAACAGCTTGGTTTTCAATTCATCAGCTTTATTGTCATTGTTCAAGTACAATAACACGTGAAACTGGATGCTGGCAGGACAGTGCAAATATTATTTCATGCAACTGCAAACAGTGGTGCGAAGAGAAGAAGGTTGGATTGACATTTCAGGTTTTTGCTACTGTACTGCACAACAATATTATTAGAAACTGGGTGACAGGTAATGTAAATCCCAGTTTCTCAATTAATCAATGAATTAGTCTATAGAATGTCAAACAGAATGAAAAAAAGTACTTCAAAGTTTCTTCAAATCAAAGGAAATATCTTCAAATGCTTTTTCTGCTTGATAAAAAGTTTGACTAGTCAGCTTTACAGTAATGTAATCCATAACTTTACCTGCGCAGCTGTTTGGAGGGAAAATCCCAGAGAGCCAAAGTGCCATCAGATGCACCAGAAACCAGGTGAATAGAGTCAGGAGAGAGCGCACAGATCCTGACGGGGCTGCGACCAGGATGCTCCAGGACGGCCTCGATCTCTCCTGTGACCATAGACCAGACCACCATGGTGGCATCTGTTGAGCATGAGACAAGAAACTGACCGCAGGTGCTGAAGCAGCAGCAGTGGACGCTGTAGCCGTGGCCTGACAGCGGTGAGAAAGGCAGCTCTGAGAAGTCATTGGTGTTGTATATCCTGAGAGTTTTATCGCCAGAACATGTGGCTAACAGTTTTCCTGAGAAGGCACACCAGTTGACATCATCTTGATGGTGTTGCAAGGTGCAGACTAGAGATGCCATGTGGAGAGTCAGTCCTAAATGATACATAGAGGGAAAATTAAAATCACTATACAATATATACATAAGAAGCATGTTGACTGAAACTAAATATAGCAATCATCTCTTAACACCCTTCAGTATTTTCTTACTTACACAGCATTTAGGGAAAAACTGAAGAGAATATTAGAAAGTCCTGAACTGAAAGAGTGGTAACATAGTGTTTCTACTCTAACTGTATTTCTGATCTCTGAACGAGGGCTGTTCATGAGTTGTTTGAGACAAAACCAGTCCCGAAAATGTTCTGAAATGCAAATTTTAAGTCACGATTTCAGTCCAGCTAGTTTTAAGGCCTAGTTTGTTTGGTCTTTTTGCCAGGATCTTGAAAAGCAACAACAATGAATTGTCTTCCACTAAAACCTTTGCACAGAAAAACAGGCAAATTATTAGACCTAATGATCAGTTCCTGACAATCTACATCTACGAGGCAGGGAATTTAACGTTGGCAACTAACAGCACACATCAGAGGCAAGTGGGTAAGAGAGATCGGGCCACTGAAATGTTCCTCCTCTGTTGACATTTTTAGAAAAAAATTCTAAAGTCACTTGCTTTTGATTGCTCTTAGTGGTCATACAATTTTAATATTTTACATTTTTTTCATTTTACAAAATGATCTTACAAGTTGTTAGGCTGTTTGTCTTGCACTTTAGTGTTTTATATTTATTGATTTTATACATTTTATACTTTTTTTCTGTCTTGCTTTTTGCACATATTCATATCAAGTCAGATTGTTGTGAATAAACTTTATCTTAATTTGATTTAGAGCCAGAACTTATTAGATATACTTTCCATTTTCTAGGTCACACACATAATTTTAGTTTTATTATGTAAGACAAATGCCAGACATTTGCTCTGTCAATCAAATACTTTGTGGGGTTTAGAATCAAACAGAGATTTTTCACAGATTTCTGACACTACACTTATTTATTTATTTTTGGTCTAAAACTGTATATTTTGCACAGTAAAGCCAACTTTTTAAAATGATTTTTTCTTTTTCTTTTTTGCTTTTAAAGCGACATTTAATTTAAAGCCACATTTAAAAGCAACGGACTTGTCTCCTTGAATAATTGGGAAACGGCCTTGTCTCGACTGTCTCAAACATAAATTCTATAATAAAGGCTTTATTATATGTCTGTGTATGTCTCAATACTCAAAAAGGCAAGTCTGTACTTGCGTGCTATTCCTTCTGCGCATACGCACAACGACATGCCTACTGCGCACCTTGTTCTGCACATCTTTCCTTTGCTTTTAAATGTTACTTTAAATTAAATGTCGCTTTAAAAGCAAAAAAAAAAAAAAGAAAACAGAAAAAATAATTTCAAAAAATAAACTAAAAGAATAATTTAAAAAATGATGAAAAAATAAAATAAAAAGAAATGTAAAAATAATAATAATAAATAATTATTACAATAATTCTTCTTTTAATTTCCTTTTTTAAAATTCTTTTATTAATTTATTTTTCTAATTTGGCACTCTCACTACTCCATGTTCATGGAGTCAAATCTAATGTAACTCAGACCTTAAGATCTTTTTAAAGACATTTTTACAGCTCTGCCTTCATCATGAGTGACAGTTACCTGTAGCTTATATTAGTGGTGTGGTATTAGAGTTTACACTAGGCTTGTTCAGCCTCAAAAAATGTACACAGGTGTCCCTGTTTTTGTTCTTTAAACTGGGCTCACCTCGTTATCAAACCTTCGCTAAAGTGGTCGAAAAAAAGAAAAGAAGGCAACAGTAGAGAGAGATGCAAAGAGATGCAAAGGCTAAAGCTAACGGTGCATCCGAGTCAAGACGTAACTTTATATTTCGTGTTACATATTTCATATTACTCACCAGCGGGAAACAAAATGTAGAAAAACGGTCCAACAAGCAAACTCAGGCGGTAAATAAAGAGAAATATCACTGTAATGTTGTCCACATCCAGCTACAGCAACGGCTAACTTTATCTCCGACAGTCGTGTTGTCCGTCAACGTCAGAGTTGTTTACTTCCTCCTCGGTCAGCTGACCACGACGTAATGCGGAAATAATCACTTATATTAAAAGCACTTGTCTAACTAATGTGGATGAAAGGTGCACTTTTTGTAGGAACAAGCCTGTGGCAATTTTGCATTTGTTTTATGTTTGCCCAATGTCTTCTTGGAGGGACGTGGAAAAATGCATTATTGACAAAACTGAACAATCTGTTAAATTAGGACGCAAAGATATTATCGCAAAACTTGAACACAATGACAAAACATGATCCTTCATAAAACATCATCCTTCATAATTAATCTTACAATCCTAATGGGTAAGGCTCACATCCACAGGAGGAGGTTTTCCAAGTCCCTGCCAAACTTTTATATTTTTGCTGTAGAATTATACTTCCATATTGATACTTAAAAGCTAATGGCAAATAATAAATGTGAACGGACACTTTTATATAAAAAAAAACAACAACAACAAAAAAACCTTGTAACCTCTAAATAATATGAAAACAAACCTTATACCTATGTGCCTTATTTACTTTATTATGTAATTTGATTTGTATATATATATGTATATATATATTTATACTTATTCTAATTGTTATTGACCTAGCATGCTTTGTTGTTCCCTGACTGTCTGTGCTTCTTTGTTACTAAATAAAAATTGCATTAAAAAAAAGTCTAAAGATAGGGCTTGTAATAATAATAATAATAATAATAATAATAATAATAATAATAATAATAATAATAATAATAATAATAATAATAAGCTGGTAAAAATATCCTTGGTTATTCAGTTACAAGAAAGGCGCTAGTTTTACAGAGACATGTCTGTAATTTGACCACAAGCATAAAGTTGTGTGTATTTGTGCATTATGACAATTTAACCCAGATAAAAGCAGCTGTAGACCTATATGAGCTTTAACAACAGGCGCAATCAGTCTTTGACATGGTCATTTTTTGGCCACAGGATTTAAGACTGATTTTCTTAAAATCATCACTGTGCATGTTCAACATTTTGCAGGATCATTCTTATCTCATTAATAAAAACATGTCATACCTCCAGATGTCCTTCCAACCCAACAAACTGTGCTCCAGTACTGCAGTAGTCCCCACTAGGTATTCATTTATTTTGGCCTGTATGTGTAAATCTGTGCAGTTTACATGGACAAAATCACTTTTACGAGGTACTATTTTGAGGTAGTTCATCCTTGCTTCAATATTTCAATTTATTTGTTGCAACCATCTATTCAGCTTTACCCCTCAACACTTTATAGAGACATAGTGTTGTTGTTGTTTTTTTTAAACTTTTTTTTGTACAGCCTTAGTTACTGAATAGTTTTTCAGTTAAGATAAAAACAGACAATTGCTGGGGGGGGAAAATAAATAAATAAATAAATAAATAAATGATATATATATATAGGACTTATCTATATATGTATAGGACTTATATATATATATATATATCAAATAAGATGCATTGCCATCCATTACACTTACCCAAACTATCACAGTAAATAGATCTTTTAAAATTACATATATCTGTATCTGTAGTTAAATTACATATGTAACAAGTGCCAGTTTTGCCACATATCTATAGGACATTTCTTTTACGCTGTTGTCTTTTTTCTGTTGTTTAAAAGTGTCTTTGTCATTTATAACTAAAGTGAAAGTCAAGCTTTTTTCCTTGTTAGCATGTCCATCTAAAATTGTGTTTTTGTTTTGTTTCTTATTTGTGTGGTAGAAGACACGTCGTGACTGAAATAGACAGTCAACACCATGGCTGAGCAGTTCCACCTTGAACCTGCAGTGTACCAATGACACTCTCAAAAAACACTGATGCAGGCTTCTGGGGTTTCATAAGCCCCTCTCAGACTTTCCATTAATCTATCAGCAGCTGAACTTGTTGACTTTATGCGTGTTATGTTTCCATAAAAGTTGCAATAACAATCTTCAGCACCAACACTGATCTAAAAACACAAAAGACCAGATCACCAAACACCCTTCTCATTCACTTTACTTTATAACTTCAAATCTATTAGTCAACAAACTGTAGAATCCAAAAGAATAAAACTTTACCGCCATGAAACAGAGAACAACAGCTCGGATTAATGATACTCACCAATAATTAATGTTTGTTTGTTTTGTTGTTGTTTTCTGAGAAAGTATTATCAGAGGCAGAAGGTGTTTGTATGAGTCTCTTCTGGAGCATCAGACAGCAGCAGGATCCGTAGGAGTGTCTCCAAAGCCAGAGAATTGCGCACATTTACACATGTGGAACAACAGTGCTGGTAATTTCATTAATTGCTTATAAATTATTCCTGACAGGGAGATAGGATCCGTTTGGATCAGAATCTAAAGGGAAGTTTCACTGTGAACTTTTCTTCACCTCAGGCAGGTGAGCTGTTGCATAGATACAGTTAAGTCCTGAGCTCCATCACAGCTGTATGGACGTATTTTTATTTTACTGTTGGTAAAGTAATAGTTAAATTATCATCACATGTGGACAAAAATTCCTGTGATTAGGTAAATCATAAATAAACTAGAATAATACTTATTTAGACTGATAAGCTTGCTCTTAGTTTAGAATTTTGTTTGTTGTTGTCTTATTATCTATTATTGAAATCATTATTCTACTTCAGAATCTGTTTACAGTTCAAACATGTATGGCTAAATTACTCCAATATTACAGTTTGCCATAGCGTTACAGTACTTTTATAGTGTTTGGTTCAGAGCTACAGGTGAGCCAGTGTGCTGGACCTGCAGCAAGTGCAGTGGAGTGGGTAAAACGAGAAGCATGGAATTTTTAGATTTTCACATTTTTAGAGAAAACAACAGCGTAGAGTTACATCTAAGCCACTTTGAGGCTGGCAGGGACCATGTTCATGGAAAAAAAACGAACAAAAAAAAACTCCAAACTTAAATATGTTAATATTATACACAGAAATGGATTTTCAGGCATTTAATTAATGCCCAGAGAGAGCCTTTAAAAATTGAACTACTGCAATCTAAACATGCATTTGCATATAATAACACTTGGATCTGTTGGAGACATTTCTGTGGATTTTTGTGCATTGTTGGGTGCACTGAGGAAGCTATTTGATAGCAAGATAATGGATAAACCTTGTACAAACTTTCAGTGACGAAGCTTGAAGAAGCATGCTCTTATTATGCATATTGATATACGGCTGCTACTTTGAAAGAACAAAGGGGATTAATCCAGCGATTTACCAAGACGCCTTTCGCCGAAAGAGATTCTGAAGGTTAGAATTGAAATAAAACAAGTCACTTACGTTGAAAAACATCCTTTTAATAGGTCCGTGCCACACACTAGTGAAAAATAAAGCTCCTACAAAAGAATGATACTTTTATTCCACAATATCTTAAATAAAGTAACTTCAAGTACTTTTGACTTGGGTACAAAAAAATCTAGCTGCCTCCATCAGGCCACAACACACAGCAAGGTTCAACACAGTGGTTACAAATGGCCTTAGGTCCTCTGTATTGTGGCAGATTACGAGGAAATGCAATATGGAAGCATAACTGATTGCTTGTTGTTCCTTTTTTTTTTTTCTTCTGCTATCGTGAGGAATGATTTCTGTGTCACTGTCCAACTTTGGAGGCCTTGTTGGATTGAAATCATATAAAAAAATAATTGTCATAAGAATGAAAACTAAAAACAATAACATCCCCTACATGCCCCTGTTGGAAGGGTAGGCACTACCAAGATTAAGGATACCACAGTGTTTGCAGAGGATATGTATATACTGTACAAACAATATTTATGATAATGTTTTCATCACGTTCACTAAAATAGAATGCTACAATCATTCTAAGGCATAAACAATATCTTAATATTCTTAAACAATTTTTACACATCGTTCCAAACAAGACATAATATTGACATTAATAAACAGTATATACACATGAATCACCATTGTCTAACTGTTCCTCTGCTGTTCCTGTAAATAAATGCAGTTTTACAGTTTGAACAAATGAATACAGTCCTCTGATGCCTCAAAGCACTGAACAGTGTAAACAGCTTTTTTTTTTTTTTCTTGGCTTTGTTTGATATTTGGGAGAAAAATTATAACACAAAGACACATTCCTTTTTTTAAAATTCAAAGCAGTTCGGATGATTCCTCCTTTTCATAGAAAATGAAGTGGACCTTGATTCATAAATAATTATTACAAAATTAAATACATTCACTATAATACGATTAAATAACAAAAGATTATTTACAAGTAGTGGAAAGTATTCTAGCGCAGACACATCAGTGACATTTTGAGGATTCATTCAGTGCAGTGTTCTGAGACAGGGAATGGTATTGCACTAGGACACCCCATTTCTCTGGGACTCTTTGGGGCTTTTATCCCTGTTGTAAGAAATCCAGCGCACCTCATGTAACAACTTTTTTTAATTTATTTTTTTTTTCCAAGGTGACATCTCTCTTAAGCACACCACGGCTTCCTTACTGAGGAGTTGACTTCTTCTTCCATCCCGCAAAAGCCACATTCTCCATCAGGAAATAAAAATTAAAAGTAAAACCTGGTTCTCCGATATGAAAAGTTGAATGGGTTTATGGGGAGAGTCTGAACAGACTTTTAGTTTGTTTGTTTCAGAAGCTCAGTCCAGCGCTTCTCAAAGAACTTCCTCATGTTATGACCAGCTCGACCAATGTCTGAATTGTCTTCATTGAATTTTTCACAGTTATCAAAGACCAAGTTGACATCAATGATGAAAGTCTCAAGGTTTTGATACCTGAAATAAAAAGAATATATTTAGCTGAGGTGGTACAACTTACATGCAGCTAATACATCTCATTCTATGGTTTAACCTTCTGAACCCCAAAACCCACAAATAGGTTTGAAAAGCATGTTGCTTAAAAATCCTCAAAATGATAGAAAACTGTAAAAACAGAAAGAATTATAGCATTGTCAACTTTCCAATGGTCTACGCATTCATGACAAGCCCTTCTGTTGGGAAACTCAAACAACTCTAAGCTTAAAATCATG